TCCCAGCTACAATCCCGATGCCAGGTCTGCTTATAATTCCGATAGTCCTGGACATGATACAAATGATTGTTGGGCGCTGAAGTACAAGATTCAAAACTTGATCGACGAAAGAGCGTTGGAGTTCACACAAGACGGTCAATTGGAGCTTTTTTCTATCTCCCCTCACAGGCTCACCACCTAAAGTGACAAGTCCAGACAAAGAGGCTTCTGTTCATTTGAATTTTCAATTGTAATCTCTTTTGTTGCTCAGACAATTATCTATTAATGTCAAACTTTGTTTCATTAATGCATTGCATATGTTTGTCTTAAATCCATCCATTCGTTTTCGCTATATTTAAACTATGCTTTTTACTCTCTTTATGACATTCAACTCTTGTTAAAAGTTACTAGCCTTTAGAGGGAGGATGACGAAAACAATTCCATAAATCTCATACAATATGCTTTTGAACAGACCTTGCTGACGATGTACAGATGTTCTTTCAAATCCTAAACACTGGAGTTATAAGGAAGATAATCCCTAGTCAATCCCTTCGAGCCAAAGAAGTAGGAATTTTATTTTTCACACAAAATGAAACCTTCAATCAAAACCTGGGGTAGGGTAGTCTCTCAGTTAATTCCAATTGCGCGTTCAAATTGCAAACTCTCATCTCGTAAGTACAACAAATGACATCAACACATCAACAAATGACATCAACACATTTCTCTAGAATCAGAAGACGGTGATGGTTCCCTATCACATAGGCAGCAATTATCCCTAAAAAAAACCCACTAAGTCAAAACCTACGAAGGAGACTTAATAAAAACGGGGGCATCCCACTGACCGTAATCTCAAAACAAGAACAGCCAGGCAAAAATTAGGGATAATAAATCAAAAGAAAGAGGTCACTACAAATCCTCAACAACATGAAAAAAAATGTTGTAAAAATGACTGCCTTCCGACAAACTTAACTCGTCTGAACCATCACGAAAACGTCATTCCAGACTCAATTGGAGTTCAAACGCACAATTAACCGAGTTTAAGACTGAAGAACGTCACGATGAGCAGGTGGGTACAATTACATTTTGAGCCTTTATCCTTTGTTTCTTAAATCGTGAACCATGCCACGTTACAACCCTTCAAAAGTCCTAATCGAAGCATGGGTTATTTCGAAAGCATACTGTTACAAAAGGTATCCTGACTCCTGCAGGGCTTTACTCTAAATCCTGGGTTAAATTTTTCTTACAAAATTTCTTTACTTGCTAAAACGAATTTTCAAAATTTTTAAGACAAACATAAACTTTGCATTATTTGAATATCACTGTCTGCATATGGTTATTTGTTTGACAACAAAGAAATTCACGCGAAGAATATCTAGTGAACGAAAGCTCTCTCAGTAAACAAAATCACTTTGATTGGAAAGACACTTCCAATGACATATCTCTGATGATCAAGGGGCACGACATGACCTTTGTCCAACACATCTGGGGAAGTCAAGTCGAGATTCAAAGAATCTCTCAAAGAATTATTGAAAAAACCAGGGGCAAATCTCCATATGTATCACTCAAGGGGAAATGTTACGTTGATCAGGGGTTTGAACAAAATCCATTATAAAGATCTTGAGTACCGCTAATTTGCTCGTCTGTTCCAGTAGTATCAAATGGTGACAATATCATGTCTTCAGATCCTCCCATGACAATTCTTAGAAAATTCTTAGACTTGACCAAAGATCTTGGGTACCACCAATTTGCTCGTTTTTGCCAGTAGTATCAGATGGTGTCAGTATCAGGTCTTCATTTTCCTCAACAGCAGTCTTAGAAAATATCTCTAGGAAGTTCAGGGCTACCAGAAATATGATCAAAATCTCAAGCGTCAAGGTGCACCAGATTAACTCTGAGGGCAAACAGACTTCCACATAAAGGGTCATGTGTGACCAAGCAAAACTTTTCTGGCATTACTACAACACTTACTACTAAGGGCAGTGAAAAATCTCCCCAAGGTCTTTCTCATAGGATGATTCCCAGCCAGAGTTTCAATCTCTGAAATTTCTCACCTGCTTAGTCGACCTCAAGAATCCTCGAGAATTTTCCCTAGTGAAGAAGACACATCTCCAATGGACCGACCACAGGGTTTATTTCCCCAACGAACTACATATTCCCCTAGTTCGAGTTTGCCTCTCTGACTACAACAAATCAAAAGACCACAACTCCTCTTCCCAATAGACTACTCTACAATTCCCAGCAAGTTATTGTGAAGCCTGGACCCGACCTGATATCCGTTCAACTTCAACTCCCCAGTATAGCAACAAACAACTGAGACTCCTAAACTCTTTTCCCCAAGCAACAATCAACACTCTCCACAGGGTTTTCAACATTACTCAGCAGAGCTCTCCTCAAACAACAAGACGGGAATCCTTGGTGGAAGTTATTCTAAGCAAAACATGAAGACTTACGCTCCATATCCTCAAACGTAGTCAGGGATTTTATTTCCCCTAATCCAACAGTGTTATAGCAGCATATCTTACATGCCCGTACATCGCATCCATGCGTCATAACATTGATGACATGAATGCATACAACATAATCTCATTATACAATGCATTTCATACATCATGACATTGCATATAGCCAATCTTTTATCTCTTCAGGAAAGATCATTCAGCAGATGGCTATCATCAGCAATGTACAAAGGTCAGAGATTGATACCTGAGAAAAGCCAAGACAATTATCTACACGACCAGCTGAAGCAATCCAGCATGGGTTATTCGGATTCAACTTTTAGATACAGTTCAGATACGCTCCAGATACGGATGCCATCCTGATACTCATTCAGATTCAGCTTTCAAATACAGCTCAGATACGCTCCAGATATGAATGTCATCCTGATACTCATTCAGATTCAGCTTTCAGATACAGTTCAGATACGCTCTAGATACGGATGCCATCCTGATACTCATTTAGATTCAGCTTTCAGATACGCTCCAGATACGGATACCATCCTTATACTCATTCAGATCCAGCTTTCAGATACAGTTCAGATACGCTCCAGATACGGATGCCATCCTGATACTCATTCAGATTCAACTTTCAGATACAGTCACTACGCCAAATAAGCTATTTAATAGCGCTTTTTTTGTTTGTTTTTGATAGCGCTTAAAAGTGCTATTAACCGCACCACTATTGTAAATATTTCTTATTTAATGGCACTTTAAAAGCGCTATTAAAGTACCAATTTATAATAGCGTTTTAATTAAAGTGCTATCAAAGTCAGTATTTTGCATGTTTTTTGTTTGTTTTTTTATAGCACTCTAAACAAAAAGCGCTAATATATAACATATGTTTGATAGCGCTTTCAAATAAAGTGCTAATAAATGGTACATATTTGGTACAATATTTTTAATAAGTACAGTACAATATTTTTTCTTACACAATCATTTTTTTTGGTGTAAATATAAAATAACTATATTCAATTCAACACAAATAACGCTTTAAGTTACTCATTGCATATATATTATGATCCATCAAATACCAAATAACATTTTAAATTACCAAATCCTATTGTTTCCAAATATCATAACATATAGAATATTAAGAGGGCGTTTGCATAGCCAAATTTGTAGATGCCCATCTATGAGTACTTCAATTCAAATCCAAAAACATACAATCAAATTCTCTAAACAAAACACCAAAAAAATAAGAAAGGATAACAAAACAATCTCATGTAGTAACCACCTTCATGATCCAAAAGCGTTGAACTCATAGATACAATCACTAATTAGGCAAAATAATTGCTTCTTGTTTTCCTGTATCATAGAAGGAATATTGATTATGTATTGTACAATAAAAACTAATTCAACATATAAAGAATAATCAAACATTTAATATGGGTCTAACAAGAAGCGCATAAAATAAGGAATGATTATTATAAACTAATAACAATAAATCGAAGTCCATGGGTAAAAAATACTCGAGAATCTGCTCCTGTCAAAATACACACTTTTCCACCTCTACTCACTGCAGTAGGATCTATAATTGGCAGACTATGCACCAGTACACAGCCGTGCAGTAGGATCTATAATTGGCAGACTATGCACCAGTACACAGCCACACACTTTTTGATCAAAAGGCATCACCGGATTACATATTCTTAATGTGATATTTGAAGCATATACTTGTAAATTTCACTCTTCAAAGTGGACACAGAGAAATGGTAAAGAATTAACAACTTTCTTTAATTCATAACAACCATTAAAAATCATATCCAAGAATAGCATCTCAATATCTACAATTCCTTTTCCTTTTGTCATCCATTTTTTATTAAAGAAAATCCAATGCAATCAATGAATTAGATGTCAAACATTGCAACTAGTGGCAAACAAGTTTGGTTTTGCTGTTTTGCTTATATTTATATATAACAAAGTGACCCACTGCTTCCAAGTTCGGATTGGATTTTCCTAAGATAGCATACATTGGTGGGTAAAGAGGTTGTCAGATATTTTAAGATTAGTCTCCATTCTTCATTCTTAATCAAATGATTATAATTAATATTAACATCATTTTTTTAATTATAATAATCAAGTATCATCACCTAAAAATACTTTATAAATCATGGGATAATAATAATTCATCTAAATTTGTTATCTATATCTATTAAGAATAATCTAATTACTCAACAGTTACATCAAACACTCTTACGCAATTATCAGCTCCACAAGAAGCAAGTTGCAGACTCTTGTTATCTTCCTCAGTTTCCCTCCATGCCAGACGGTTTACGGTAGATGCATGACATATAAAAGGATCAACACGAACAAGAAGACCAGTGGTGGAACCCGGTGCATTGTCTTGTCTGTTATAGGACAGATTCCACAATTCTATTTGGCCGTTTTCCATTCCAACAGCTAGAACTCCGTTGTTTTTTCCATGAGGGAGACCGGCCCAAGATAATGCTGTCACACTGCTTGTAAATTGAGGTAGACTCATAAGGGGCCTTACTGATGATGATTCCTTCTCTACGGCCCAGATTTTCACTGTTTTGTCGCGTGAACCTGTTGCAAATTCATGGCCGTGTGGATTCCAAGAACATGACCAGGTAATCCGCTTGTGTCCTTCCTGCCTCGCAAGAAGACTATAACTGATTTCACCGGTTCCTACAAACCACAATTGAGCGATTAGTATTTTTACTGAGTTGCATTATGGCGGAACTTGATCCAAACTCAACAAATTTTGTCCAAAGAGAGTCACAAAAAAGAGAGATAATAATACTAATGCAGAGTAATTTGAAGTCCATACAAACACAAAAAAGGCAAAGATGATCATACTTTAGTGTAATTTTTGCTGTCGACTCCATAGCCTTTGACATACAAATAACCAATCCCATTATAAGCAGAGTAGAGGTGATGCTTAGATGCTAGAGTAAGCCATTCAAAGGCTTTTGTATAGTTCCTCTCAACACCGGCTCCCCTGGCATATATCTCTCCGAGAAGCTCCATGGAGCGAGGCTCTCCCTTCTCCACTGCCTTCAAGAACCACGAAAGTGCCTTAGAATGGTCACGCCTCAATCCACGTAGCCCAAAGTAGTAAAAGAGTCCCACTTTGTACATAGCAGCAGCATTCCCTTTCTGTGCCTGATACTCGAGAATCTGAAAATCCTCATCCTCTTCCCCTTTAGATTTTCTAAGTGCCTCTTTGTTCTCTTCAGCTCCATTGTGTAGCCTAATAGGTTCAATGACGGGAGAATCTTTGGAAATGAGAAAACCATTGACAGCCACTTCTGCTAATTCAGCATAAAGCTTAACCGATTTATCAAACATCTACAACCATTCCAACATAATCAAAAACCCTAACATTATAATAGAATAGAATATAGAAGTTTATATATTAGGAAAAACAAGTGAACTCACATCTTGACGAGTGTAGGTATAAGCAAGAGCCATTTTGGATTGCATATTGCCACCATCTGAAGCAAAATGATGATAAACAAATGCTTTCTGTTTACTCCTCTCTCTCAAAAGCCCCATTCCCCACAAAAACCCTAACACTGATTGTGCCGCCGGGTAACCAGACTCTGCAGCCGTCTCAATCTCACCAGAGCCTTCTTCGATTAGCCTCGCGTCTCCTGTCATAAGCTTGGTCACGGCGGAGTAGTAGAGAGCCTCCGTATCGGATTGAGGTTGAGGTTGCGGTTGGGTGGAGGTTAGTTCGAAGATTTGGCGCCATGATCCAGGGTCGAGATCCTCTTCGGATTTGTGAGAGTCGGAGTCGCCGAACTCGTCCCACTCGGGGGAGGAATCGGGATCGGAAGGGGGTTCGTCTTTGAAGTCTTCTTGGGAGAGGACGAGGACGTAGGGGCGGGCGGTGACGGAGAGAGTGAGGAGAGAGAAACAGAGGAGAGAGATGAATAATTTGGCGGTGGGCATTGCTGTGTTGAAAAATCACAGTCACAGCAATTGAAATTCAGAAATAATATAGAAATTTGGAATGAGAAGAACAAGAATGAAGGATAGTGAATGTAAATGGATGAAATGTCGAGGATAGTCAAATAATAGCGTTTTATACAAAATGCTATCTTAAAGAAGTTTAATAATAGCGTTCTGGTACAAAGTGCTATCATAATTACATAGTCTGTATTATATAATAGCGCCCGATTAAAAAGTGCTATTATAAATGTGTTTTTTCCATTTTAATAGCATTTTTTTTAAAAGTGCTATTAAATTAGGTGATACAAAAAATCATTTTTGGCGTAGTGAGTTCAGATACGCTCCAGATACGGATGCCATCCTGATACTCATTCAGATTCAACTTTCAGATACAGTTCAGATACGCTTCAGATACGGATGCCATCCTTATACTCATTCAGATTCAGCTTTCAGATACAGTCCAAATACGCTTCAGATACTGATGCCATCTTGATACTCATTCATATTCTGCTTTCAGATACAGTTCAGATACACTCTAGATATGGATTCCATCCTGATACTCATTCAGATTCAGATTTTAGATACAGTTCAGATACACTCCAGATACAGATGCCATCCTCATACTCATTCAGATTTAGATTTCAGATACAATTAAGATATGCTCCAGATATGGATGCCATCCTGATACTCATTCAGATTCAGCTTTCAGAAACAGTTCAGATACACTCCAGATACGGATGCCATCCTGATACTCATTCAGATTCAGATTTCAGATACAGTTCAGATACGCTCCAAATATGGATGCTATCCTGATACTCATTCAGATTCAGATTTCAGATACAGTTCAAATACGCTCCAAATACAGATGCCATCCTGATACTCATTCAGATTCAACTTTCAGATACAGTTCAGATATGCTCCATATACAGATGCCATCCTGATACTCATTCACATTCATCTTTTAGATACAGTTCAGATACACTCCAGATACAGATGCCATCCTGACACTCATTCAGATTCAACTTTCAGATACACTTCAGATATGGATGCCATCCTCATACTCATTCAGATTCAGCTTTCAGATAAAGTTCAGATACGCTCTAGACACGGATGCCATCCTGATACTCATTCAGATTAAACTTTCAGATATAGTTCAGGTACGCTCCAGACACGGATGCCATCCTGATACTCATTCAGATTCATCTTTCAGATATAGTTCAGATACGCTCTAGACCGGATGCCATCCTGATACTCATTCAGATTCAGCTTTCAGATACAGTTCATATACGCTCCAGATACATATGTCATCCTGATACTCATTCAGATTCAGCTTTCAGATATAATTTAGATATGCTTTAGACACGGATGCCATCCTGATACTCATTCAGATTTAGCTTTTAGATACGCTCCAAACACGAATGCCATCCTGATACTCATCAGATTCAATTTTCAGATACAGTTCAGATACTCTCCAGACACGGATTCCATTCTGATACTCATTCAGATTCAATTTTCAGATACGGTTCAGATACGTTCCGGACACGGACGCTATTCTGATAGTCATTCAGTTTTAGCTTACAGATACAGTTCAGCAATCATGTATGGATGGCATCTACGAGCCCATATCCAACAACTTTGCATCATCCCTCCAAATGGCATCTATAAGCCCATTCCCTATACCATCAAACATCACATCACCGAGTGCAAATTTCTAGGCACTCTAGTGTCCAATCATCTTCCACCTTCGAGTCACAAATGGAAAAAGTCGTCAATCTAACTCTTCATGCTTAAGAAGATTAAATAGGGGCATTTGTTGTACCCCAAAATTTTCCCTCTCACTTATCAATAATTTTCTCACAAGATCTCCTTTGGCTCAAGACTGCACTAGGGTTGATCAACTCAAGACACCTTCTTAAGCACTGATGACCAAAATTAGGGTTTGAGATTGCACAAGGATATTTGAACTTCAAATGCCCCATATTACTTTCATGGATCATTATGGACCCTCAAGATTACTCATGTCAAGTTTAAAGCTTTGGATCACACTTTTGCTCAGTCAATTGAGCAGTTGACCTAAAAATCAACTATATTAGGGGAAAAGTCAACTATGGCCAATTTATAGTCAAACTTCACAAATTTTGATCCACACAACATTTTAAACTCATATGTATCATTTTATTAAGTTTGGACCACAATTCCTCAAGAAATTTGATCAAATCCTCAAAAGGGCAAAATGGTCAAAATTAGGGGTTTGACTAGGAAAGGGCAATTTCTGATTTTTGACCTAGCAAAGGATCAATTGGTTTAAGGAATGATCTCAAGAGTCCAATTGCATCATTTTGACCTATTGACATGGCTTAAAACATTGCTCAAGTCCAATGGATTGATAGATGAATTTTCAGTCAATTGATCACAAGTCAACTGTATACTGAAAAGTCAAACTTTGACTTTTAATGTCAAAATCAAACTTTGACTTATTCATCAAGAAATCAAAAATTCAATATTTCATTTTGAAAAGTTAAAATTTCTAAACTTAGAAATTTTTCTAAGTGTTGGAAATTTCTTATTTTTTCACAACTTTGAGCAAAATTTTCACCATGATGCAAGATGATTCAAAAGAAACTTCCAACATGAAAGTTGTAGATCTCCATGAAATCTACAACTTTGCTTCACACAAATACTTCCAAAATTTCTTGGATCTCAATTTATAATTTTAAGAATACACGGTCATGAAACAAAAACACTTAGTGAAATTTTGCTCTAATTTGGTCAGGATTTTGACCTAACTTCAAGGCACTTTTTCATATAGTTCCAAGGGGAATTTCCAAAAGTGATTCAAAGATGGATTGTAGAGCACATTGCAAGCTTTCAAAAATGTCAAAGAACTCCTTGAGATCATTTTTGAGTATGGAGAATCAAAGAGATGAAGTTAGGGTTTTATCACTTGAATTACAAGTCATTTTGTGATGAACAAATTCAAAATTCAAACTTATGCTACATTACCTCTACTTTGCAGGCCTCAAACTTGTTAGGCACTCCATAATTAATTGCTTATACAGCTGTTAGAGGTCTCATTTCAAGCATTCAATGCAAGGACATGCTTTATATCCATTTTGGGAAGAAAGTGCACATTGCCATTTTGATAAAGTGGCCTTTTTCACAAAACTTGTTCTTGAGCCTTGCACTTGTTCTCTTCTGATCATACAAGTCCCATAACTCATAAGAAACTTGTTAGACACTTACAATCACTCAGCCCATGCTTGTACTTCCCCTTAAAACTTGTTTTCCCACTTTTCTTGAAAATCAAGTAACATAGCAAATAGCTTGTAACTTGTACTTCTGACTTTCAAAATCACTCAAAACCTTTTGCTTATAGATACACAAGCCATTTGCCACAAATACCATGCATGCTTAAGCTCTGAAAACACCTAGAACACAGAATCACCAAAAACACTTTAAAACTTGTCATTTCTCAATTTTGAATCCAATCTCCAAATTTGCTCGTGTGTTTCTTAGCCTTTTACTTTCAGAAGCTTATAAACAACATATAAAAACAATTCCAACACCTGCAGCACCACTGTAACACCTCCATCATCATCCACCATTTTCAAAAACAATACCTTGCACCTTGACTTCTCTAGAACTCCTCAGGCACTTTCAGCTCAAGCTAAGCATCCCATTAGCTTCTTGGGAACTTGAGGAAGCTAATCCAATCATTGGAACTCACTGAAAGCTACTCAAACTCCAAACCCGATACCCTCTTGCAAGGTAAGTTTTCTGACTTTGGAACTTTTCATACATGCATCATTAATGGTTTATTTATGAATGAAAAATGTAGATATCATTACCCTAAAGCTAACCATGTCCATAGATTTCATTAATTTTGCTTGAGCTTAGAGAATTTTAAGATTGAAGTTTCTGAGATTTTTAGGGTTCAGATTAGGGCCATTAAAATTAATGCTTGTCTTTAATCTATAATTTTATTGCTTTGCATTTCTAAAATCGTGAGGAAATTTGCTACAAGTTTCCTGTTGACATTTTTCATTTTTTTTGAGAATTGATCAAGATACAGATACTCTGGTTGGGAGTGAGGTTGAAAATGAAGTTCAGGCCATGAACTTGTTTACTATCATATATTTATTTTTTGGTTATATAAATCGATGTATAGCCACTCCAATGGTATAAGAGCGCGCCTGTGATTGGAGGGACCTGTGTTCGAGCCCCAGTGGTACCCTTTTGGATTTTTTATATTTTTTTCATGCATTCTGACTTTTTTGGACAGATGTTGGGCCTCCTTTGGGCCTTTTGTTTTTTTTCTTACCTCTAACCCCTCTATTTCACTTACACAACCATGGCCCATTTTGTTTTCTTTTCTCATTTTTATTTATTTATTTTCTTAAATTATTTTATCTAAATGCTAAAAAATAAGAAAAAAAATATAAAAACATTAGATTTATATTTTGATAAAGTTTACTTATTTTTTTTACACAATAAATTATTTTATTTAATCATACTTTATCTATTTCATTAATTATTTTGTAAATTTAATTAAAAACTAGGATTTTAATTATTTTATTTTACACATTTTAAATATATTATTTTAATATTTAAAAAGACCAAAAATATTTTATAATACTATAATTTATTTTTAAGACAAAAATCCAAAAATATTCTTCTTATAAACTTAATTTCCTTTTTTTAATCAATTAATAGATTAGGGTTTTATTTAAATTCTTTTTCCTAGTAAATTTAGGCTTACTTTTTATTATTATTTTTATTTTAATTAATTAGGTTAAAACAAAAATCCTTTTTCCCTAAAAATCAAAATAACCATCCATTTTCTTTACATTCACTTCCTTATACATTTATTCATTTTTGTACATTATTAATTTCTATTCTTGTACAAATTCAATATGGTTGTAATGGATAATTAGGTTTTATTTTCTTGCAATCCCCATTTATAATTTGTACACCCCCTCCCACAGGTATTATAATAACGT